GAATACTTGGGGATTTTCAGGGTCGCTGATTACGAATCTGTCATTATTTTTCTAGGGTATTTATCGAAATTTGATTTCACCAAAAATTATCATACTGATGTCATATTAACCAGTTTCAAACAAATTCAATAAATTTAAAAAAATTTTCCGCCATATTGAACCAGATATTTTAAATTTTGAAAAACTGATTTCAGATTCGTAATCAGCGACCCTGAAAATCCCCAAGTATTCAGTTTCAAGCCAATCTGATCAATTTTTTATTTCGTTGTCCGCCATATTGGATCCGCCATTTTGAATTTTGGAAAACTAATGTTAGATTCGTAATCAGCGACCCTTAAAACCGCCGAGTAACAAGTTTCAAGCAAATTCGACGAATTTTGAAAAAATTTCCGCCATCTTGGATCAGCCATTTTGAATTTCGAAAAACTGATGTTAGATTCGTAATCAGCGACCCCAGAAACTTTAGGGTACCAAGTTTCATAAAAATCCATTAAAATTTTTTTCAACACACTTTTGGCCCAAACAGTGGAAATCTCGTTGACAGCCAAGGGGTTAAGACAGATATAATTATATAGTTATGATTAAATAGTACATGGAATAAATAAATGACAATTGAAAATAATTTTTAACTTTTATTGAATTCAGAAACAATTCTTGAAAAGTAATACAATAGTTTATTGAATAAACATTAAATAAAATTGAATATTAAATTAATTTAACAATAGGTTTGTTGCATTTCAAAATTTCAGGATATTTCATTTTTTTGTCATCAATTAATTTTATGCTGCTCGTGTTGTCAATTGATAGATATATCAATTTCTCATCTCCTAAAAAAGATAACAAAATTATTATTATCACATTATAATTATAATAATTATATATTATAATAAAAATTATTGCAACAATAATTGCTTAGTAAAAATTTATAATTTAATTAAAAAATTTTTGTATACAATAAATATTAATTGAAATTTAATTGAAGCGTTTTGTGCAGAAACCGCATAAGTCCATTTTTTTTGAAAATCACTTTTTTATTGAAAATTTACATTTAAATGAATATAATGCAAAAAGCCGAATTAAAAAAAATCTTAACATTTACGAGAAAAACAGTTTTTATTGATTCCTAAACAATTTTGAATTATGGACTTATGCTGTTTTTGCACAAAACGCTTCAATTAATTTATTTAAAATTATAATTATATAAAATATATAACAATTTATTATTGTAACAATAATTGCTTAGTAAAAATTTCTAATTTAATTTTAAAAATTTTTCATACAATAAATATTAATTGAAATTCAATTATTTTATTTAAAATAATAAAATATATTATTTAATTAATATTAAATAAATTTTTATTAAATAAAAAATTAAGTAAAAAATAATCGAAAATAAAATAGAAAAATTTTCATACATTTTATTACATTTACTTGTGAATTTTAAAATCATAATAATAGATAGGTATATAATAACAATTATTGCATCAATAATTGCTTAGTAAAAATTTATAATTTAATTACAAAAATTATAGGGGAGAGTGGGGCAAACCGGCCATATCTACGGTTTTTTTTACTCTTGTGACTAAACGAATCAACCGATTTCATTTTTCGATGGCTTGTTTGAAAGATCATTTATATGTGCGCAACTTTTTCCCAGGCACCTATACTTTATCTTTTATTGTTTAGTTGGTGTGTTAACTTTAAAAAAATTTGCAAACGGGCCGGTTTGCCCCACCCCCTGGGGTAAACCGGCCACCTACGTTTTTTTATCTATAATATTGCATTTTTATATAATCTACAATAACAACAAACATAAAGAATCATGCGAACAATGCTTGTAATAATGTAAATAATAATACAGGATTGAATTTTAATTAAATAAATAATTTTTTTAAATAACAAAAAAAATATTTGAAATTATCAGAGAAACAATATTAAAGGGTCTAATTTTCATTGGAAGATAATTATTTTTCATTGTAAGTAAATATTTTAATGAAAAAAACATTCTAATTAATAATAATTTTCTTGAAACTCTATTACAATGAAAATATTCTATGGCCGGTTTGCCCCACCGAAAACTAGCCGCTTCGCCGCACAGGCTCATTTTGAGAATAAATATTTCTTAATATTATATTTCTTAATTATATTAATAATATTTCTATTTCTAATATTTCTAGTATATTTCTTAATAAATATATCTTGCAACGCAAACTAAAGTATCGAATCACTAAAATTGTTAACAAATTGCAGAATACCCATAATGATGTTATAAGTGGGGATTCTTCTGCATTGGACGATACAGACTTTTAACGGTATTTAAAAAAAAAGAAAAGAAATAATAATTTAACTTTTAGAACTAAAAGAGATTTTTAAGGATAAATATAATTCTTTAAGGATTGTTTTTTGGAATGTGAGAAGTGTTGTGCATCGTCTAAGTGACATACAATCTCTTCTCAATGATGTTGACATTTTTATCTGTGTTGAATCGTGGCTAACTAATGACAGAGACATACAATTTCCGGGTTTTATAACTTTTCGAAGGGACAGGATTCACTCTAGGGGAGGTGGTCTTTTGCTGCTAATTCGGAAAACTCTGGCCTTTAAAGAGATAATTGACATCCAGTCTCCAGATAAAAGTGTTGAACTTTGTGGTATATGTTTAAACAATGTCTATCCTCCTGTTAAGGTTATTGTGTGTTATAGGACACCTGGTTTTACTCTTCTGCAATCCCAAAGGAATAAAATTTTCCATAATGTTAAAGTCAGTGATAATGCAATTTTTGTTGGTGATTTTAACGCTCATAACAGAAGTTGGAACTGCATGCATACTGATGCAAACGGAATTAGATTGGAAAACTCACTTGAAGAATATGACCTTTTCTTACATAATACTAGTTCTTCTACTTATGTTAATATGTACCATAAAACTAAATCAAATCTTGATCTTCTTATATCTACTATTAACTTGTCTGACAAAATTCATTTTCGGGTTAGTGACGATCCTTTGGGTTCTGACCACTTTCCGATATTTATTTTGTTAAATTCTGAAAAAGTGTCTTATGATAATTATGATCAAGTCTTTGCGTACTAATTGGGATAAGTTTTCGAGTCTTTTGGAGGAATCTTATAACGAGTTTTTGTCTTTAGATTACGAATTGATGTCTCCAAGTAATAAATATAAATTCTTTCTTAGTAAAATAAATAATGCTCTTAAAAATTGTACTCCGAAGAGAAAAAACTTTCCCTTAAAAAATCGTCAAATAAAAAAAAATCCAGTTTCATGGTGGGACGAAGATTGCAATAAAATAAAGAGATTAAGAAAAGCTAGTTATAAAAAATGGGAATTCTCTCAAAATATGATTGATTTAATAGAGTATAAAAAAATTAGTGCCTTGGCAAAAAAAACTTATAAAAAAAAGAAAAGAGATGGATTTAAAAAATTTGCTGAAAGTATTAACTTCCGTACGGATCCTACCTTTGTTTGGAATAAATGTAAAATTTTTAAAAATAAATGGGTTAAAGTTTCTCCTCTTCACACTTCTGAAAATTTACAAATGGAAAGTAAGGTTAGAGAAGCTTTAAATAAAATAGGTCCCCCTTGGGTTCAGACGGATCCAGATTGGCTGCCTCCAGCTCAAGCAGAGAGTGTCTTCTTTGACGCTCCATTTGACTTTGTTGAATTTAATGCTTCCTTGGACAGTAAAAAAACTAAATCTTCGCCTGGTTTAGATGGTGTGGATTTTGACATTTTAAAGAGATTATCAATAAAGTACAGGTTCTTTTAGACATTTTTAATTTGCTTTACCAAACCAGAGAGTATCCCTTGAGCTGGAGGGAGTGTTTTGTCCATTTTGTCAAAAAACCTGATAATATTGGTCTGAGACCCATAACTCTTACTTCCTGTTTTCTGAAGCTATTTGAAACTTTGATTAAAAATAAATTACAATGGTGGGCTGAAACGCAGAGCTTAATTCCCAAATCGCAAAACGGTTTTCGAAAGGGTAGATCTTGTATGGACAACCTATCAAACTTAACTTTAAAGATTGATGAAGCTTTTATTGAAAAAAACACGTTTTGACAGCATTCCTTGATGTGCAAGGTGCTTTCGATAATGTTAATATCGATACTCTGCTGTCTAAGCTGGTTTCAATTGGATGCTCGTTAAAATTGATTTCTTTTGTTAGTTTTGTATCTCATGAAAGATATATCTATACAGCTCATACCCAAGATGAGATAAGAAAAGTTTTTAAGGGAGTACCTCAGGGTGGCGTACTGAGCCCACTATTGTATCTTATTTATGTTTCTAATATTGTTGATGACTTAAATAAAAGTGTTGTTGTTTCTCAATTTGCAGACGATATAGCATTGTATGTTAAAACGAAATCTGTCAAGAGAGGTGTAAATATGTTGTCTAAGGCTATAAATAGGATTGATAATAATTTGCTTTCTCTTGAACTTGAACTCTCTCTGTCTAAACCTCAGATTGTTGATGTTAATAATATAAAAATTTTCCCTGGTAATGTAGAAATTAAAATTAAAGGTCATGTAATTAAATCAAGTGCTTCGGTTCGATTTTTGGGTGTCATATTTGATTACAAAATGTCTTTTCTGCCCCATATTGACGATGTTTTTAAGAAATGTTCCAGAGCTTTAAATATTATAAAATACCTTTGTGGTACTTGGTGGGGTTCAAGTCCTGAAACTCTATTAACTTTGTATAAAAGCTATGTCCGTTCTATTGTCGACTATGGTTCATGTTTGTATTTTCCTAAGACTAAAAAAGGTAGACAAAAAATCGAGTCTATACAAAATAATGCAATTAGAATAGCTTTTGGCTACCGTAGAAGTACGCCTATAAATGTCATATTGGCTGAGTCTAAACTTATGATGTTGAGAGACCGTTCTGTTTACCTGTGCGATTGTTATTTGGCAAAAATTTTATCAAATCGGAATTTTCTTATTTTTAACTCTGTGAATGTTTATTTTAACCTCTGTAAACGTAAAGTTTTAAACCGTAAGATTTTATTGTGTCGTAATGTAATTTTTAAATTGAATGATTTTAAGTCAGTTGATTCTCGCAACAACTACAACATGTATTGCTCAGATTATGAAATTTTAAAAACAATATTACCCGTTGACACCAGCATTGGTAACGACCTTAGTAGTTTATCTAATCCAAATAATAGATTAAATGATTTAATACATGAGAGCAATGCTATATCTATTTTTACGGATGGGAGTAAGGTATCTTCGCGTTCTTATGTCGGTTCTGCTTGTATTTGTCCAGAATTGAGTATATGTATAAGAAAGAGTATGCCATGCGAGGCATCTGTATTTACGGCTGAATGTGTTGCTTTGAGTGATGCCTTAGATGTTGCCTTGGAACATAGAAGTCATAGCTTTCTCATTTTTTCGGACTCTTTAAGCGCTTTACAAAGTTTAAAATCTAGTTTTCTTACTATTAAAACTAATCCGTACATTTTTGAAATAAAAGAAAAATATGTTAAATTTTTTGCTAATAATTCTTACAATAGTTTTATAACATTTTTTTGGGTTCCTTCACATAACGGAGTCCGAGGAAATGAGGAAGCTGATTTTCAGGCTAAATCAGCTACTGAAAAGGACTTTTTGGATATTTTAAGGATTCCTTATACTGATTTGTACGAATTGTTTAAAAAAAAGTCATTCTCGCTGTCTACAGATATTATATTGGAACAAGGTCTTGTTAAGGGTAAATACTATTTTGAGAATTATTATTCTAGTGTTAAAAAAATATGGTTTAGCAATAAATCTCTAACAAGATCACAAACTGTTATAATTAATCGTTGCAGAGCTAACCATTACAATCTGGCTGAATCTCTGGCCCGTATAAATATTGTCAATAGAGCCCAGTGTAAATGTGGAAAAAGTAATGAAAACCTTAATCATGTTGTTTGGCAATGTTCACTGTATGTGAGGCAACGGTCATCTTTACTTAAAAAGCTGTATAATATGAAAATTTTCTTGCCCTTGTGTGTAGAAATGTTTTTATCAGAACCTAATATTACTGTGTGTAAACTTATAATTAAATTTCTGGAAAATTGTAATCTAAAGATATAAGTTTAATGTATGCATATAAACCTTTTAAGGTTTTCTTAACGCTTTAAATAAAAAAAAAAAAAAAAAAAAAAAAAAAAATATTTGAAATTATCAGAGAAACAATATTAAAGGGTCTAATTCTCATTGGAAGATAATTATTTTTCATTGTAAGTAAATATTTTAATGAAAAAAACATTCTAATTAATAATAATTTTCTTGAAACTCTATTACAATGAAAATATTCTATGGCCGGTTTGCCCCACCGAAAACTAGCCGCTTCGCCCCACAGGCTCATTTTGAGAATAAATATTTGTTTGAAAGAAACGCTTTGCAAATTCATCAAAGTTTTTGGTTGTAAATATTCCTGAGGTGTGTATCTTCAAAACCCAAGACCTAATATTTGGAAATATTATACATTTCCTCAGAATTTCCTTAAGAAAAAATTCGTAAAAGTGTAGAAAAAAACTAAAAAAAAACACTTTTGCTCCCAGCGTTGCACAAACAAATAATATTTTTTAAAATAATAATTTACTTACCTAATTTATTTAATTTAATTTATTAACTTTGTATTATTATTAATTAATTTCACAATAAATAATTATTGATTCTTTACAGTAAATAAAAAAAATAATTTAAAAATGCGTACAGTAAATAAATAAAAATGAAAAAAATAAATACTTTGATAAAATATTACTTACCCAGGTGAGAACTGACGCTGGGTTCAGGCTTTACGAAAGCTTTGTTGAGGCTTGGTCAACATTGATCAAGCCTCGGTGGGACGGCGGAAGCAAGGTTGCTTCTAGCCATAATGTAACACTTATTTAAGACTGACGCTCCAGTCCTTGTTGAAGATTGGCGTTCAATGTTCAATCAATGCTGCGGAACCCTAATGCAGGATTCATATTATATGCGTTTGTTAATTTAATGGCATTAAGTTACTATTATAATAATTATATTATTATCATATAAATAATATATTACTAACAATAAATGTCTTTTGAAATAGTAATATTAAAAAAATAATTTTAGTAAAAGAAAACAATTTTCACTTTCTTTATTACCGTGTGCACTGAACAATATTAAATATAAGTATTTATAAATTATTTAATATTCAAATATTTTTTATGATAATTTTATAAGTTAAATTATATATATTTTTTTTTCTTGTACAGTGTCAAATTATTATTTTCAAAGATTAAGAGTTTCGTTTATCTGAAAAATTATTAGTGAAAAAAATGTTCATTAGGTAGTGATAAATATTTATGCTTAGTAATTTTACACTAGGATTAACTGTTTAGTAAATATTATCAAAAAACTATTTTTTGGCAAACACGCGCAGCTAAACACAAATAACCTTGAAACTCCAGCATTACCAACTCAACACATACGTTAAACTCTTAAGTTGGCAATGCTAAAGTCTCAAGGTTATTTGTGTTTAATCGCACGCGTTTGACAAAAAATAGTTTTTTGATAATACATATTTACTAAACAGTTAATCCTAGTGTGAAACTACTAGGCATAAATATTTATTACACCCTAATTAACATTTTTTTTACTGAAAATTTTTCAGACAAACGAAACTCTTGGACTTTGAAAACAATAATTTGACACTGAGCAAGAAAAAAATAATAATATATAATTTAACTTTATTTATATGAATCTTATATAATTAATAATAATAATAAATAATTTAATAATAATAATTATTATTATTTTTATTATAATAATAATAATAATTTTTAAATAGTATATAAAATTATCATAAAAAATATTTTAATATTAAATAATTTATAAATATTTGTATTTGATATTTTTAAATGCACACGTCAATAAATAAACTGTCAAGATTGATTCAGAATTGAATTAAGATTAGATATTCAAGCTTCACTCACGAAGATTGACCGAGCCTTGAATCGAGCATGGGACGAACATTGGTGTCCAATGCTGAATCAATATTGAGTGACAGTGATATAAAGACTGCTTCAACACTGGGTTACCCACGCTGGGCGTTCAAGACTGAATCAAGCTTCAATCCATCGTCAGCATTGGTCTTTCACGCCTGGGTTACGTTTCTTTAAACAAAATTATTTTTTTTGTTTTATTATTTTAATTTCATAGTATATAATAATTTAAATCAGATATTTTTTTATTAACATTTTTTTAAATAATAATTTATTTAATTTATTTAGTTTTAATTTTTTTAATTTGTTTAAATAATTTAATTTATTAAATTATTATTATTAATTAATTTTTCAATTAAATGTTACATTTAAGTGAGAAATAATTTGAAAAAATTGAAAAATTCGAAAATTGCATTAAGAAAATTATTGGATAAATAATAAATTTTTTTGATATAAACTTTTTTTAAATTATTAATTCACAGTAATAAAAATAGTATTTAAAAATAAAAATTTTTTATAATAAATAAATTTGATAAAATTTCACAATATTTTACAATTAAAACTTTAAAAGCTAATTAATCGGCTACAATAAACAAAATAAAATTAATTACATTTTTTTAAGTTTATTATTATTCACAGTTATAAAAATAGTATTTAAATAAATTTTTTTATAATAAATTTGATAAATTTTTCACGATAAATAATTATTTATCGATTCTTTACACTCTTCTTTACACTTCTTTACATTCTTTATTTATTGATTCTTTACACTAAATAAAAAGAAAGTAAAAAAATAAATACTTTGATAAAATATTACTTACGTTTCTTTAAACAAAATTTTATATTTGATTTTTTTTATTTTTTCATTGTAAATAAATAAAAAATAAATGACATACTTTTGAAAATAAACATGATAATTTTTCACAGAATAAATGCCTGGCTCGGCGGACGCTTAGGACCAAGGGTACTTGGTTCGCGCCCATTAGCATGGGATTTTTCCGGCACGTGAGATAATCTGAGCGGGAGGTTTGACGTCGAAGTATAATGATGGGCACCGTCGATTATTGTCCGGTACACACCATTAGAATTCGACTGTCGATAAACCGGTTGTACTCGGAGAGGTTTTCTACAGTTTTCCTCTCCACTGGCGAGAAAACCCATTAGACGGGTGGTCCAGGCAAATGCGAGTACTTCTAATTTTCAAGTCGCTCTGTAGGCGCAAAACTTAGTATATAAGTATAGTTTGTAAGAAAAATTCCACGGGGACACTTGTAACGCTAGATTAAGGCAAAAGACGAGTGTATAAATAAATAAATAAATTATATATAACTAGCACACATAACGCGCGCTAAAGCGCGCGTGAAGTTTCTTTTTTTAATTGACATTGAAAAATTCAATTATTTACAAAAATTCTACACAAAATATACTTAAATATATAAAAATAAAAAAATATTATTAAATTAAAAAAATAGTGGAAAAATAAAGAAGTATACATAATATTATCTATACAACCATTAAAAAAACAAAAGCATAATCATGACTAAATTCAGGTGTGGACAGACTGGACAGAATGAATGAATGAATACGACGATTATTATAGTTAATTAATAATTAATTGGCTGCCAATGACCTGAGTTGTTGCTTGGGTGTTGCTGAACAACATCCTGATTGATATAGAATTTTAAATTAACTTTTAAGTAGTAGCACCCCCACCCGTACGCTATCAGACAATCAAAATTAGTGAAAAATGAGGTTAAAATTCATTTTCTCTCATTCAAATATTTTTCTATTAGCTGCCAATGACCTGAGTTGTTTCTTGGGTATTGCTGAACAACATCCTGATTGATATAGAATTTTAAATTAATTTTAAAGTAGTAGCACCTCAATCCCAATTTTGCCAAATAAAAATTTCTGTAATTACTATATATTGGACAATCGAACAAAAAATGATACAGTGTTTCCCTTTCTTTTAAATTGCAAACCATACAAATTGATTCCTGATCCCAGCTGTACAAATTACCCTTATATGAAAATCTAAAATAATGTTTATTTGCTAGTCTTAGTTGTATAAAAATTTTTGTTAAATAAAAATTACGTCGTCTTAATAAATAAAGGGCAGTTTTATCTTCAAGCGATCTTAATATATTTTGCATTCTCGAACCAGAGAATTCAAATTTTAAAATATCTGAAAATTTTAGATATCTTTCATACCGATTTAATGCCAAATCTAAATTTTTCAACCACTCTTCTGGAGAAAGAGTCGTCTTCTGCTACAAAATGTAATATTTTATAGAGCAGAATAAATATATTATTATTATTATTAAGTAGTAGCACCTCCACCCGTACGTAATCACTATTTCTCTAAATTTATTCAGGAAATTCAGGAAAAAGTAGTGTTTCACTTTGATCCGAGAATTTCATTTTTTTCGAGCGATTTTTTGGTTATCGTCTTTGCTTTTCGAACGATCATCTCGTTTATTCTTTTGTTAATTGTCAAATCGTATCGTCTAATTTTCTAATTGTCATCGACTGAACTTCTCGACTTTCCATAACTGACAACTAAAAATAATACAATAATAACCTATTTTTTGAAAAAATTCAATTTCCAAAAACATTTAAATTCTCTTTTATTAATTCTTTTAAAAAGTAAAATTAAATTCATTTTAGTGAATTAAAATTATTATATGAAGTTAAAAGTTAATTCAAGGTGTCTAGCGAATTATTATTTTCAAATACCCGGACCAAAAAATAAAATATTCCCGGATTAATTTTTTAAAACAGCAATAACTATAAAATTAAAATATTAATACTTTGTAACAAACATTTTAGACGTACTTAACAAATAATTGTTATTTTTCATGTAAAATATTTTCCTTTTTTCAATATGAAAAACATAATTGCTTGACAAATTAAAATTATAAGTACAGAAATTTTTTCAAAAAAATTAAAAAATTGTTGGGAAATTAAAATTAGAAAGTAGAAAATATTTTGCACATTTTTCGCTTCTCAATTGCAATTTATAAACAAAATACGTAAGTAGAAAAAAAGTTATAAATCAAATTCTGTTTAAGAAATTTTTAATTTATTTTGGAAAAAATATTTACAAAATTTTCTATTTGTTAAAAACTATAGTTATCGAAATAATAATAAAAAATAAATAAATAAAACAATTTCTATTTTATTAAATAAAAAAATAAATAAAAAAATTTAATTTTAAATCTGTAAAGTTCAATTATTGTTAAAAATAGGATGAGTTTGAAATAAATAAAATCTTTTCAATGCTAAAGAATATAAGTAGGGCAAAAAGTCCAATCCAAAAAATCCACACTAAAATATCCAAGAAAAAGAATCTAAACTACAAAAAATCCGAAAGAGAAATTTTTTTTTAAATAATCTTGTTTGTTTATAATATTATAATTGAAAATTTGATTTTTTAATTTTATTTAAATTATAATGAAAATAATTGAATAATTAATTATTTCCTTAATACCTAAACAATAAAAATTAAATTTTCTCAAGTACTAAAAATATATAATTTATTTGAACATTCAGAAATTTTAAATTATAAAAATTTCAGAGAAGTATAATTATCTATACAAATTAAAATAAAAAGCGATATTTTAAAAACAAATGAAAATAATATAACTTTTTTTAATTTGGTGAAAAAATTCCAGGTTCTGCATAAAATTCCTGTCTTATTCCCTGTTTTTTCCGGTCAAATTAAATTCCCTGTTATTTTATACTTTGTAAATTTCAATTTTAAAATTAATATAGAACGATTAAAACACCATTAGAACTCGACTGTCGATAAACCGGTTGTACTCAGAAGAGGTTTTCTACAGTTTCCCTCTTCTCTGGCGAGAAAACCCACTGACGGGTGGTCCAGGTGTATGCGAGTACTCCTAATAAAAGTCGGCTGAAGACGCAAAATTAGGTTAATATTATATAGAATTTTCTTATGTAGAATGGTTATGCTTCATCCAAAAAAGTATTTCTCGGGGACTCTTGTCGAAGTGCGTAACGCCAATAGGGCAGGAGTATAAACAATAAAAAAAAATAAATAAAGAAAAAATATTAATACTTTAATAAAGAAATTTTTAAGAAAAACAATTTTAAAAAGTCAATAGACATCTTTATTCATAGAAATACCTGTAATGGGTGAAAAGGTGTTCGGGAAAAGCCGATGATTTTCGGCAAGAAATAAAAGTGGGGTGTGTGTAAATTCTGTCATAAGTAATGTGACAGAAAATTAGTTTCGCCTGGTCGGTCCGACTGGAGAGAGGTGACATAATATACCTCTCTCAAAGTATTTTATTAATTGTTTAGTTAAGTGCACAAAAGATTAATTGGAGTAAAGTGGGGACGCCCACATAATCTGTTAGTTATCTCTCTGTGACTATCATCAAGGACAAGATTCGATCCTGCATGAGGATATTCCAGGACGTCGTAATATTGGAGGACTCATCTCGAGAAGAAGAACTAAAACTTTGTAAAGCGAAAAAGGTTTGTGAGATTGGTTCAGTGTGGGTCATGTGTGTTCGGGTTATTGAATAAAAGGAAAAATAATTTAATCCCCGCTATTTCTGAATTGATTATTGATTTGAATTTCGTATCCTAGATCGATAATTCGTATCAATATTAATTCTTCTTTTTTGTTCGTTTAGAGTGGACGCATGTGCTGAGACTTTTCAATATATGTAAACTTCTGCGGGAATCGAATAAAAATATAATTACCAGTTAATCATCTTCTTTACTGTTTTCTCACTCACATTTACTCACAATAATTATTATTGGTTTATTCACTTAAAATATTCAATTTATCTAATAAAATATAAAGATTAAATATTACATACCTATAATATTACTTTTTATATATTACTTAAGTCTTTAACATTATAAGTTAGATCTAAATTTAAAATTAACCTACTTTTTTATTTTTTTATTAGGTGGGCTTTTTTAGGGAGAATTATTATTTTTAATTGTATATTTAAATAATACAAATTAAAAATAATCATACCTAAATTAAAAAAATTCAACTTTTTTAGGTATAAAATAATTTTTTAATAAACATTATTAAAAATTTAGTTTTCTTAACATTATTTAAAAGTAGACGGAAGAACAAAGTTTTGTCCTCTTGATGTAATTTTTTTAAATTCAATTGATTAAGTTATAGACAATTAAAAATAAGTATACTTAGATTGCTTTGAATCATTTTTTAATATAATTAAATATTTAAAATATGTCTGTATAAAATCCTTTTTGAATAAGTTAAAATTTTGCAAAATTTAATAATTAATTTATTTTAAGTATTTTATTACAGTTTTTTAAAGAAATTTAATTGCAAATTTTGAAAATAATTGAATTATCAAAAATTTTGAAGAAAAATCTTTAAAGGTAATTTTAAAAATAAAAATTAATAAAAATTAGCTTCTAATGTTTAAAATTCAATATTTTCAATTACATATTTCCAAAAATTCAAATACATAAAAAAATGATAATATTTTAGAATTATTTCTAACATTTTGTAGAAAACAATCATGTTTATAATTTTTAATGAAAATTCATAAAAAAATTAATTAGTTTTTTAAATTATACAAAAATTATTTTAAGAAATTCAATTATTTTTGAAAAATTACTTTAAAATATTTTTAAAAACTAATTATTATAATTGTTTTACAATAATTTTTTAAGATTTAATTATCTTTGAATAATGTAAATAAACATTTATGAAAATTTACTTTTTGGACTTTTTGAAAATTATTTAAATTAATTGATTCAGAGACAAAGTTTAGTTAAAAACTGTAGAAAGTATATGAATTTAAAAAGGTTAATAATGGTAATTTTTAGAAATTATGAAAATTCATAAATTTTACTCATTTTCCGTAAATATTCATATTTTCCTGTAAAAAGAATTTCGTAATTTCATTTCAATGTCAGTAAATTGTCAGGGAAATTCATAAACTGAAACGTGTGATCACCCTGCATTTTATTAATTTATTTGCAATACTCATATGATTTTTATGTATATATAATACATATATATCATATATATCGTTATATATAACATATATACATATATATATACATACATATATATCGTTATATATAACGAACTTCTCATTTAATGAGAAATCGATCGGTTTAGCGAGATTTTCACTTCAGTAAGACGAGCGAACATGACAGCTCAGTTATCAAAACAAATAAGAAATTGTTTTTTGGTTCGCTTCTCGGATCGTGTCGCTCGAATGAAACACTAGATCAAATAGTCGAATGCCAAGTAATCGAATGGACAAAACGTCGAATGCTAAAAAGTAGTATAGCTATCCATTACTAAACCACAGTTCCTGCGGCTGCCGCTAGATGGCGCCACTGTCGCATACCTGCGGTCGGTAATTACCCTCGGTCGGTAATGTAGATTCCTACCTTATCAGTTGTTGGTAAGGTAGGTATCTGTTGGTAAATTTACCCCTGTCGGTAGGGTAGGGATCTGTTTTACCGACCGATCTGACACTTGGACTGCCCTTGGTGGGGGACTTTGAAATTAATTTATAATTAAATATTTATTTGTTAATTTGAATATTCGCGCCAAGTGTTAGTTCCCTCTGTCGGCAGAAAATTAAACTAACCTTGGTTGGGGACTTTTGAATTAATTTACCATTAACATTTTATTAGAGAATTCAAATTTTCGCGCCTAGTGTCGGTAATGTGTTACCATCAGTCGGTGCTGCAGAGTTCTATATTATCAGTGGTTGGTAAGGTAGATTCCTGACATGAATTTTATCTTGATCGGTAAGGTAGGAAACTGTTTTACCGACCAAGTGGTTAATAGTTATGTGAAGTCCCCACCACAGCTATGCGTGCGCATCTTTTGTATGTGTGTATCGGTGAGTTTGGGTATATAAGATGGAGCTGAACAGAGGAGCGACATTCGTAGCAGAATCTTGAGCCAAGAGGATCTACAACCAACAGCATACAACAACCAGAGTTTTCAAGGAAGTTTCAGCGTTGCAGAGGGCACCTTCATTGAGGAAGGTTTGCTTCACCGTTGAAGAAGGCGTTGAGGAGTGAAGTGGACTCCTGCGAGGAAGTCGTGCAACAGGGGGAAGCACTGTCGAATTCGAAATTTAGCTGGATTAATTTTTTTTAAAGTAAGACTTTCTATTGAAACTTTTCAGTGATATTTTGGGAAATTTAATGCTTACAGAATATTTTTTAATGTAGAATGCCTGGTAAACGACGAAGAGCGGCGGATTCGGACAAAGAGGTGCCTGTGAAGCTAAGGAGAATTAATTCGTTGCTGCTTAATGAATGTGCAATTCTTGTTCAATCGACTGAGGATGCTTCAACCTTACTCGAATTACTGAGAAACGATATCGACAGGACTCAATTTGTAAATAGATGGATGTCCATATGTGACTCGAATATTCAAACGTTAAGGAGTGTACTGGATGACCTTTATTGCTCGTCGGATAAGCAGAGATGTTTGAATCTAATTCAACAGTTTATTTGTCTTCGAGACAAATTTGAAGTTTACTTGAAGCGAGGTACTGAAGTTGCTGAACCTGCAGTTCCAGCAGTACAATTGGATGGATTAACGGACCGTGTGCGATGGGCTAACTGTGAAAATGCCTTTAAGTGTCGAATTCAAACGAGTATTATCGTCAACCTAGTCCACATAGATGTCAGTGCTTTTTTGGACGACGCGAGAATATTGTTTGCGGAATACATTGCAACTGTATTGGAGAAGCATGGTCCACTGAAAGTATACGCTGTTCTTGGTGCTAAATTCCGGAAAGTCGTCAACGATGAGGAAAAAGTTGAATCGAAGTACTTTAATGTGAAGAGTGAAATAATATTCCCGACAACAAAATTAAGTGTTTGGTACTGTAAAAATGTCAAGGAGCCAATTTTGAAGCAAGTGGAGGAGTTTACAGAGAAGGAATCACAGTGGACATTGCATTCGATTATGAAATTGGAAATTAACGTAAATAAATATAATCCAGTACGTGTTGGATCCTATATTGATTTACCACATCAAATAAAAATAAAGAAGGCTTGTGTCAATGTACAAAATTCTGACAAGATGTGCTTCAAGTGGTCAGTATTATCGGCTTTGCACCCAAGAAATCATCACTCAGATCGAGTTTCGAGTTACTATGAGTTTCAAAATGAATTAAACTTTACTGGAATCGACTTCCCCGTCAATTTAAAGGACATTGTAAAATTCGAGAAGCAAAATGACATCTCTATCAATCTATACGGACTTCGCTTAGTGAACAAAAATTTCATCACTGTTCCATTACACTTGACTTCAAACAAAAAAGCGAGACACATTAATTTATTAAGAGTTGAAAGTCACTACGAGAACGAGGCTGATAGTGATGATGACGATGTTCCTGATGTTACCATTCCTGCTGCATCTGATGATATCATATCACCAAAATATCACTATGTACGGATTAAGAACTTATCGAGGCTTGTAAATTATCAGCTATCTATGGATGGACATAAAAAACATATTTGTGACCGATGTCTGCATTATTTTGTCACCGAGGAGAGGTTAACCCGACATGAGCAGGAATGCAAAACTTTAAACGAGTGTAAAATCAACCTTCCAAAACCTGGGCAGAATTTCATTCAGTTTAAAAATTTTAAAAACAAGGAGAAAGTTCCATTTGTAGTGTACGCCGACTGTGAGTGTCTGCTGAATCCTGCTGAAGCTGAAGAAACAACTAGCAATACTGAAGTGATTCAACATCATGAAGTGTTCAGTATTGGTTATTACGTGAAGTGCAGCTATGATGACACGTTATCCGGATACCATTCCTGTCCAGAGGGAGCAGATGCAGCCAAGTGGTTTGCCCAGGAGTTGAAGCAGTTGGCTGAAAAAGTAGACGATATCTTCAAAAAACCGATTCCAATGATCCCGTTGACGCATGACGAGATTGAAGCTTTCGTGGATGCTTCAATCTGTCACATTTGTGAAGGGCAGTTTTCACCGCTGGAGAAGAAAGTTCGAGACCACTGCCACCTAACAGGTAAATATCGAGGCCCAGCGCACGAAAAATGTAATTTAAATTATCAAGATTCGAGAGTAGTGCCTGTTGTTTTTCACAATTTGAGTGGGTATGATGCTCATTTTATAATTCAAGACATTTGCCTAGAATTTGAAGGAAAGATTGATCTTTTACCATTGAACAAAGAAAAATACATTTCTTTCACTAAGCATGTTAAAGAAACGGAAATCAAATTTCGATTTATTGACTCTTTCAAATTCATGGCTTCGTCTTTGAAAAAATTGGCATCATACCTCTCTGAATATAAAATTGTCAATCAAGAATTTTCTAACTTCATGGATGAAGAAATCGAATTTCTTACACGAAAAGGGGTTTTACCTTACGAATACTTAGATTCTCGAGATAAATTGAAAGAAACAAATTTACCGACTAAAAAGCAATTTTATAGTACACTTAATGACAGTACGGTATCTGACGAAGATTATGAGCATGCCCAACGTGTTTGGTCTACTTTCAATTGCTCTAATCTCAGTGAATATGTTGATTTGTACATGAAGACGGATGTGTTGCTATTGGCAGACATCTTTGAAAATTTTCGTGATCAGTGGTTACAAGCTTATCGACTTGATCCTGCACATTATTATACGACACCGGGTTTAACGTGGGACGCGATGTTGAAATATACCAACATGAAGTTAGAATTGCTAACCGACATTGACAAGCTAATGTTTTTCGAGCGAGGTGTGAGAGGGGGCATTAGTCAATGTAGCAATCGCTATGCTTGTGCGAATAATCCTTTCATGGAAAATTTTAATGAAACCGAAGAAGTCAAGTACATTATGTACTACGATGCAAACAATCTTTACGGTTGGGGTATGGTACAACCACTCCCTTATGGTGGATTTGAGTGGGTTCAAGTTCCCGACAATTTTGATTTCAATATACCTGATGATTCTCCTTTTGGCTACGTTTTAGAAGTAGATTTATATTACCCGAAAGAGTTACACGATAGTCACAGCGATTTACCATTTTGCTCTGAACACTCAAATCCACCATCAGAATCAAAACAAGCAAAGCTTTTGACTACATTGAAGCCTAAGCGCAAGTACATTATTCATTATAGAGTTTTGAAACAGGTTCTTGCTAATGGTCTTGAGTTGGTTAAAATTCACAGAGTCATGAAATTTAAACAGTCGACATGGCTTAAGCCATATATTGATTTCAATGCCACAATGAGAGCCAATTCGAAAAATGAATTCGAAAAGAACCTGTTTAAACTCATGAATAACGCCGTTTACGCAAAAACTATGGAGAATGTACGCAAACATGTTGATGTAAAACTTGTTACTAAATGGGGTGGTCGCTATGGAGCTGAGGCTGTAATATCGAAACCAAATTTTCACAGCCGTTCGATTTTCTCTGAAAATTTGGTTGCGATTGAACTGAGAAAAACTGAGATTTTGATAAACAAACCGATTTATATTGGTTTTTAAGTACTTGATGTATCTAAATCACTGATTTATGATTTTCATTACGACTACATGCTAAAAAAGTATGGCAATGATTGTAAATTGATGTACACGGATACTGATAGTTTAATCTATGAAGTAAAGTGTGAAAACATTTATGCGGATATGAAGGAAGATATCCACAAATTTGATACTTCGGACTATCCGCAGAATAATGTTTATGGTATTCCGCAAGCCAACAACAAAATCCTGGGACTCATGAAGGATGAGTGTAGTGGGAAGATAATTATGGAATTTGTTGGCTTGCGGAGTAAGATGTATAGTATTCGCGTAAACGGGCAAGATTTCACGAAAAAAGCTAAGGGTGTTAGAGCGTTAGTAGTGAAAAATTCCATTGATTTCAACGATTATGTTGACTGTTTACAAAATTTTTCGATTCAGATAAGAACACAACATGTAATTAGATCTAGGCTTCATAGAGTTGAAACAGTTAAACAACACAAAATTGCTCTCAGTCCAATGGATGACAAGCGCTTTTTGTTACCGGAGAGCTACGACACTCTTGCTTGGGGGCATTATAAGATAAAGAAAAATTAAGTTTGTAAATATTTTGTTTGTAGATTGAAGTGTGTGTGTGTGTGTGTGAATTGTAAATATTTTGTTAATATGTATAGAATTAAAGTTGTTTTGTTAAATAAATAGACAGTTTTAATATATTTGATTCCATTTTTTTTATTTATAACCTTATAATATTTACATTTATATTAAAAAAATTTTTAAGTTTAAAATTGAATTAATAATGAATCAACAATGAATTAATAATGAATCAATAATGAATCAATAATGAATCAACAATGAATTAATAATGAATCAACAATGAATTAACAATGAATCAATAATGAATCAATAATAAATCAACAATGAATCAATAATGAATCAACAATGAATCAATAATGAATCAATAATGAATCAATAATGAATCAACATTAATTTGTTTTATCTATCCAACTATTATGAGAATTATCGAAGCCTAACCATTTGACAAATATTTTATTTCCTCGCGTCTTTAGAATTTTTTCTACAAGATATACATCAGGATATTTTACTTTAAGAAGTTCCTCTTCGTAGAATCCTCCGCTGATTGGTTGGTCTTGATAATCCTTGAGCTTGTAAGTCACAGGTTTAGTGGGTACAACTTTATCAATGGTGAATATTTCAGTTATCCAATTTGGAGTATAACCTTTTTCAAAGATATTCTTGTATTTGTTGACTCGTACTTTATCACCCATTTTAAACTTTGGTCTTCTTCGCGGTATTTTTCTTAACTTTAAAAATCGATCTTTTAAAATGTCAACATCTTCTGGAGTAACATCTTTTGGTTTCATGCCAATTGTTCGATGTTTTGTATCATTGTAATTGGACATAAGGGTAGGTAATATATCAAACCACTTATAATTTCCTCGCAAACTAAATTGCATCCACATTTTGCGTTTAAGTGTTCGATTAAATCGTTCAACAATTGATGCTTTTAGGTTACTGTACGTTGAATAAAAATTGATTTTATACAGTCTCATTAAAGTTTCAAATTGTGAATTGTAAAATTCTTTTCCTTTGTCAGAATGCAAGTTTTTTGGAATACGTCCTTCTGTAAAAATAGATTTCATTGCAGCAGTGACATCTTTTCCACTTTTACTCTTTACAGGAACGGCCCAAGCGTACTTGGAAAAAGTATCTATAACTGTTAGTAAGTACTTGTATCCTTTATTAACTTTGGAGTATGGTATCATTTCTACCAAATCTGCTTGCCAAGTATCATCAATGTCACGCATTTCAACTCGACGTCGAGGATAATTTTTTCGAGCTTGTGTGTGAAGCTCATTCACCACTGTCAATTTTTTGTCTTTCATTTTCAATTACTCTTAAACGAGAATCCAGTTCACCAATAATTTTAGCGTTTCGATATGTTAAATCTTGATTTATTTGTCGTTCAAGATTTTTTAATTTTTCTGTTACAGAGTCTTCGAGAACTTTCAACAATATGTTACTGTTGTCAATATCTAATCGTAGTGAAGATGTGATTTGATATACTAGTCGCACTTCGTTTTCTATCATCCGTCGAGCAAGTAATAAAGTAACTACGTCGTCTTCTTCTTCAGCTCTTCCAACGTTACAAATTCTTATGCCTTCAAGGTCGTAGTTACCTTGAGAATTGACTCTAAAACCAACTCCAGGTGGTCCAGGTGGTCCTCGTTTCGGTATAACACTTGTCCCTTGATTGAGAGGATGTCCGAATACATCAATACTCATTTTGAAACTGATGTATAGTCAACTCAACACTTCTTAATATATAATTTGAGCTTCACGTAACTCTTTAATAATGGACATAATTTCATTATTATGACTTGGATTACCAGCTGTTTGAGAAGCAGTAAGTAGTCTTAAACGGTCAACCAACTCATTAGGATCATCCCAATAGACATAGTCTGGTTGAAAATTTCTTTTCGTAATCATAAATTTTGGAAGCGAACTGCCAGTTTTTGATTGCCTTTTTGGAGTTTCATTGTGAGGAAAAAGTTTTGATATAATATTGGTGAATTTATAACCTCTACTTGTTTGAACAGGTTCAGAGGAACTGTATTTTTTTCTGTGTGCATTTGAGGTAATGAGGATTTGTTTATAATTATTCATATTATCTTCACTAATGTATGAGTTTTCAGGTTTACTTTTAAATAAAAGTTCCAATAATCCAGAGGTAATATTAAAATTTTTATTTCCAACATTCACAATGTGATCTTTAAAACTTATTGGTGAATCACCAATCACAAGTGATCCGTCTCTCACCTTACGAACTCCGTATACTAGATCTAAACATTGTTTTCTGTTATGATTGACCAAGTACATATATTTACTAAGAACTCTATCATATTCAAAGCCTGGAATTAATGATGATGATGATGATTGACTATCATCAGCACTCATAAAAGACATGCTATCATCATCTTGCTCCTCTTTAAATTCAAGCTTTTCTTTCTTTTCCGTTTTAACATTTTCACGTTTAATATCAGACATATTAACAATTTTTTCTAAAGGTTGAACTATGGGTTTGAATGTTTCATTTAGAGCGTTTTCAACATTTTCTTTTCCCATTTTAAACATACGATGCTTACGTCGAATTGCTTCACTAGCTTTAGCAATTTGACGTAAATATTCTTTTTGCTTATGGTACATCTTGATATATCAAAGTCTTAACTTGAACTAAAACAATTTTAACCATAGGCTTTATTTATAGTGAAACAAAACAAACAAATCCTTTTCTATACTTCCCCTCATTAAAATTACTATCCTTGTCGATAGCAACAAATCCATACCTGTCAGAATTCCAACAAGTTGAAAATAACTCTCGAAATTGAGAAAATGTCATGTCCGTATTTACATGATCATTGTATACATGTTTTAAATTCTTTTCGTCTTGTCGAAAAAGCACCAACAAATTAACATTATCTCGCACTAAATGTTTAGGAATTCTTGCATAAGTCTGACATAAATAAAAACTGTCAACACTTACATGTCTACCCATACAAAAGAAAGCCCTTATATTATCTTGCTTTTCACAAGCAACATCGTCAAATATAAAAATAGAGTTTGGTTTTGCATTTTGAGGAGATATTACTTCTTCATGTTCACTGAATGGTAAATATTCAACTCCATCAACTTCACTAACAACTTGTTCCAAAAATTTATACTTTGGTTGATGCAGCGATTTTGAGTAAAGATAAATATTATCAAATCTAAGACCATTTGGATCTAATATTAAAGATAAAAGAGCATTTGTCTTCCCACAATTTGATGGACCACAAAATATCGCACGAATACTACCAGATAATAAACTACCATGACGTTTCACTTTCTGCTCATGTTGTTGAACAATCGAGTCCAGATTCACGACTGGTAGTTTAAAAGGCAGTTGATTGAAACGCATCATGATTTAAACTGACACGAAAGGTATAAATACAGTTCTTTTATATGCTTTGAGTCATTCTAATCTTATCTTTCACCGAGTAAGGTATGATTATACATCGAAAAAGATCTCGAGGTAAAGGTCTATTGAATAGTCTTATAAACAAGTTACCATTCAAGTTACATTTGCCAGGTTATCAATATTGTGGACCAGGCACAAAGTTAGCAAAACGTTTAGCTCGAGGTGATCCAGGTGTCAATCCTTTAGACGCAGCTTGTAAGGAACGTGTGTACATACACGTTGCCAAGCTTTATCAGCTAGTACCCTATCAGCAGAGTTTCTTGTTTCAACGTCTGCTCGATTTTTCGAGTATGCAATATCGTGATATTGCATACTCGAAAAATCGAGCAGACGTTGAAACAAGAAACGCTGCTGATAGGGTACTAGCTGATAAAGCTTGGCAACGTGTATTTGCTCCAGACGCAGGTTACAGTGAGAGAGCTGCAGCTTACGCAATAACCAACACAATGAAAGCGAAATCAAAATTAGGTATGGGACTCAGAAGAAAGAACAAGAAGAAGAGGAGAAGGAGGAAGGCAAATTCCAAGAAGAGAATAGCCTTAAGAAGAATTGTTGATGCTGCTAAAAAATCTATAATTCCTGGAAAGGATGTTAAATCTAAAATCAAGACTGCTATTGAAAATGCTAGAAAAGCTGTTAGAAGCGTGGGAGGTAGAAATAAAATTTTAACACCTCGTATTCTACCAGTACCATCAAAAGTTGGTGGTCTGTTACCATTAATTCCAATTTTTGCTGGGCTAAGTGCGCTTGGAGCACTTACTGGGGGAGCCGCTGGTGTAGCAAAGGCAGTTAATGATGCAAGTACAGCAAAAGAGCAGTTAAAAGAAGTTCAACGTCACAATAGAACGATAGAAGCAGTTGCACTTGGTAAAGGTCTTCATTTAAAGCCCTACCGACATGGGTTAGGACTTCATTTGAAACCATATATTAAAGGTAATGGTATTAAAAGAAAGTGTTGTAGAAAAAAAAAGATTGTGAGACTATCACAACGAGCATTAACTGATGTTGATTTGTTAAAGTACTCTAAAGAATTAAAAATTACTTATTTTTGAGGAGTTTACATGCGAAATGCATTGCCAAAACGAGGACCTCATAAAAATGAATCAGCTATTATTAACCTTGATGATAGATATGGGCCAGGAACTCACTGGGTTGCATATAAAAAGGATAAAAACAATGCAGCGTACTTTGACAGCTTTGGAAATCTTCAACCACCATTAGAACTTGTCAACTATTTTGATAAAAATACTGTAATAAAGTATAATTATGAAAATTATCAGGATTATGACACCTTTCATTGTGGTCATTTATGTCTAAAATTTTTGTGTAAACAGCTTAAAAGGACAGAAAGATATAGTCTATATAAATAATTGTAAACTGATAACTTTAATCAGTATTAAAAAAGACATCATCATAGATGAGTCACTTACTTTAACTATATCTGGTAATTCATCTGTCTTAGAGGCTGAATATTTTCCTCCAATAGAATTGTTACCTAATAAAAACTATATTCTTGGACTTGTAGAGCTTTTAACATTTAATTCAATTCCTAATGTTGATGAAGGGAAGAATAAATTTTATATTGGAAATCAAGTAATAACTATCCCGCCTGGCAGTTATGAAATTGAAGATATTGAAAAATATATTCAAAATTCTGTTTCTAATGGAACTGAAGTTTTAAGTATAAAACCAAATAATAATACTTTACGCAGTGAAATACGAAGCAGTCTTAAAGTAAACTTTCAACAAAAAGATTCTATTGGAGAATTATTGGGGTTTGCACCACGACTACTATCACCTAATAAAACGCATACCTCTGATTTACCAGTATCTATCCTCAAAGTGAATTCTATTCGAGTTGAATGTAGTATTACAACTGGTGCATACATTAATAATAAAAAGGTTCACACTATTCACGAGTTTTTTCCAATAGTTCCAGCTGGATATAAAATCGTGGAAGTACCTTCACACGTCATTTATCTTCCAGTTGCCGTGAAGACAATACATAATATTCAGCTGCGGATTGTTGATCAAGATGGAGATTTAGTAAATTTTCGAGGGGAGACAATAACAATTCGTCTGCACGTTAAATCAACATAATGGGCATTGTGTTCCACAGAAAATCTGGTGGAAGTTATATAAACCAGTCAACATGTCAGAAAACATTCAGTCTACAGTCAGTTCGCAAGAGCTTAACACCTCAGAACAAACTCTTTCTGAAACAACTCGGTCTGCGAGTTCGTCAAGAAAAAAAGAAAAATCATTAATTCGTATTCTGTTTATTTGTTGCTGTTGCAATAAAAATGGACGAGACTTTGAATATTTTAAGTCAAGTTAAATATGATGATTCATTAGCACATTATGAGATTCATTCTCATCAACCTTATGTTTCATCAGCATTTATTAATAGTGATGAAATTCGAATTGCTGTTCAACATCAAGATTTATATATTCTTCCTAGCAAAAGTACATTACATGTGCATGGAAGACTAACAAAAACTAATGATACTGTTGTGACGAATACAAAACTTATTAGCAATGCAATTTCCTATCTGTTTAATGAGATTCGTTATGAACTTAATGGTGTTGAAATTGATCGATGTAAAAACGTTGGTCTTACAACCACCATAAAGAGTTACATTTCTCAAACACCTAGTCAGATTATTTACGCTGAGAATGCGGGTTATATTAATTTTGATGATGCCAGTAGAGTGACAAATGATGCAGGTTATTTTGATGTGAATATACCACTGAGCATGATTCTTGGATTTGCAGAAGACTACAGAAAAATAGTTGTAAATGCAAAACATGAACTAATTTTAACAAGATCCCGTACAGACCTTAATGCAGTGGTTAATATTAATGGAGTTGAACGTGAAGAATTTAAAATTGTAATTAATAAAATTGAATGGATGATACCATATTTATTTGTTGGTGATCGTCAAAAAATTGATTTATTAAAATTTATTGAAAAAGATCCGCTTATAAGTATGAGTTTCAGATCTTGGGACATGTATGAATATCCACTAATACCAGCAACTCAAAAACATGTTTGGACTGTAAAGACTTCTACACAAGTTGAAAAACCTCGTTATGTTATTCTTGGTTTCCAAACTAATCGAAAAGATAATCAAACAAGATATTCCAACTTTTTTGATAACTGTAATCTCATAAATGTTAAAGTAAATATACAAAACCTTGAAGAATTTAATTGTCCTTCAATTAAAAAGCTTAAGTTTGAGACGTCATCGCATATATGTACCCATCATACTCTGAATAAAAAATGGTGTGCAGCAAATAATCTTATAATGTTAAGAAATTGGATTTTAAAATCTGAGAATGAATTCTTTATAAGAAATCGAGATGAAGTTGATTCAAGAAATGGATATTTTACTGTAAATTCTACTGAAACACTAAAAGATTTTTATGAAAATGCCAAGCTTTTTTAAAAAATAAAATATATTTTACAAATTTAACTAATTTGTTTAATTATTTCCATATCCTACCCTATTTTTATTAATAAACAATAATTTAGAAAACAATTATTAAAATTCACTAGTTTTTAAATATTAAAAAAAAATAATTTAAATATTAATTGTTTTTCATAACTAGTAATAAACTATAAATTTTATTTTAAAAAAATAATTTTAAATAATCTTTAATTTCAAATGAAGTTTTTGGAAGTACTTGACACGTTTCAGAGAGGTAGCTAACGCACGCGCAACGTGAACCGTACTCTTGCGTTGAGTTGAGTCTCTGCGGGAACTCCCTTTCTCTCTGACGCTCGACCGTCTGTGGGGGAATTCCCAACTTTACAAAAATCTTAAAAATTTGAATTTTTCAATAATTTTTTGGTATTTTAAAAAAAATTGTATATATGGGACATTCCACGTCAACACGGACAGAGCTCTAAACAAAAATTGCTTTGATGGATTTAAACGTTCTAGGGCTTAAAAGATTTCTACGTTCATGTACTTTAAGATGCCGATGGGCGTTTTTTGCAAAATTCCATTTCCGATGCCAATAGAACTGTCAAAAGTCAAAAGGTCCAAAAATCTCAAAATACTTTTATGAATTAAAAGCAAAAAACGAGGTAAATTATTCTGTAACTCATTCTTTATCAGTTTTTAGGGTTCCCGAATATAAATCTAAAGTTTTTTTTTTAAAATCCAAAATGGCGAATTCAATATGGCGGACAAAATTCAAATTTGATCAGATTCGATTAAAACTTGTTACTCGGGGGTTTTTAGGGTCGCTGATTACGAATCTGAAGTCACTTTTTAAAAATTCAAAATGGCGGATCCAATATGGCGGAAAAAATTTTCAAATTTGATCCGATTCCCTTAAAACGTGTTACTCGGGGGCTTTTGGGGTCGCAGATTATGAATATGAAGTTACTTTGTGTTTGAGACTTCAAATTCATAATCAGATACGCTAAAAACCACCGAGTAACACTTTTTAATTAAATCTGATCAAATTAAAAAATTTGATCCGCCATTTTGAATTTCTACAAAGTAACTTCATATTCATAATCTGCGACCCCAAAAGCCCCCGAGTAACACGTTTTAAGGGAATCGGATCAAATTTGAAAATTTTTTCCGCCATATTGGATCCGCCATTTTAAATTTTTAAAAAGTGACTTCAGATTCGTAATCAGCGACCCTAAAAACCCCCGAGTAACAAGTTTTAATCGAATCTGATCAAATTTGAATTTTGTCCGCCATATTGAATTCGCCATTTTGGATTTAAAAAAAAAAACTTTAGATTTATATTCGGGAACCCTAAAAACTGATAAAGAATGAGTTACAGAATAATTTACCTCGTTTTTTGCTTTTAATTCATAAAAGTATTTTGAGATTTTTGGACCTTTTGACTTTTGACAGTTCTATTGGCATCGGAAATGGAATTTTGCAAAAAACGCCCATCGGCATCTTAAAGTACATGAACGTAGAAATCTTTTAAGCCCTAGAACGTTTAAATCCATCAAAGCAATTTTTGTTTAGAGCTCTGTCCGTGTTGACGTGGAATGTCCCATATTTATTTTGTGCAATTATTTTGCATCTGCGCAACCATTTTTGAGCAATTTTTTCCATCTGCGCAACTGTTTTTGCGCATTTAAGGTGGGAATAATTTTACATTTGCGCAACTGTTTTTGCGCATTTAGAGTGGGATGGGGATGATTTTTTGGTATAAAAGAGGGCCAATTCTAAAACAAAAATCATTCAACCTACTCCGAGTTTGGTGGAAAGCATCTCCGAGAACATCACCAGGAACCTGAAATAAACATGGATCTACAGAGAATTAATGCTGTTGGGCGGATGGAGAAATTCCTGCCGACGAAGCCGCTGTCTGAGCTGACTCCTGGAAGCCAATTTGCTGTCACAATGCTGCGCAAGGTCCAAACAAAGTATGGAGAGAGAATTGTTGCCGAGTTGAACAAAAGTTTCAACGTGTTCCTACCTGCCCGGTTTGCAAAAGCTTTTGAAGTTGACAACACCACCTGGATGTCAATGCAGGAAGCAGCAAATAACAATAAGTTGCAAATGATTTACCTGGGAGGTGTTTATAACAATATTGAATTTAATATTAATGTGTAAATCTTCTGTATAATTATTAATAATTTAAAAGTTTACATGTTTATATGTATTTATGTGTTCATACTTTAATAAAAAAAATCAATTGACAATTTAATTTACATTGTTTTTTATTCTGTCGTTTTTTTAACATTTAAATCTCAAAATAAAAAAAGACATTTCGTTTCGTTACAAAATACATATTCTTTCTACATATTTACAAATTTAAATTCATAAATAAAAAAAAATATAAAAAAGGAAACAAAAAAAAATTATTATTATTATGGAAACATAATCATCATAAAGAAAAGATTTTTTACTCAAAGAAAACTCTTTCGTTAACAAAATTATTATAAAAACAAAAAAAAATGAAACCTTATTGTGACAAAGCATTGTCATAAAAAAATTATGTTTTTTCGTGAAGTAAACTTTTCTGAACAAAAAAAATTATTATTATAAAAACATAATCATAAAAAAATAAAACCTTATTGTGACAAAGCATTGTCATAAAAAAAAATATGTTTTTTTCGTGAAGTAAACTTTTCTAAACAAAAAAAATTATTATTATAAAAACATAATCATAAAAAAAATAAAACCTTATTGTGACAAAGCATTGTCATACAAAAAAATAATTATGTTTTTTACGTGAAGTAAACTTTTTCTGAACAAAAATTATAATCGTTGAAAAAAAAAGTATTTTATATATCCTCATCAGATGATAAGTATAATTGTATATCTAAGGGTATAGAATCCAATGCAGAGTTCATTCCATCAAGAGATGATTGCCTGTTTTCTTGCGTGTTTGTTTCACGTGGTTGTAAAAGTGGTGGTGGTGGTGGTGGAAGTATTAACATTTCTAATGTTATCGGAATTAGTGTTAATGCTTGTGAAACTGGTGGTGTTTTTATTGGGCTGATTAATTTAGGTGGTGTACAAATTCTCTGTAAGATAAAATTGTCTAATACCTCTTGTGTGTGTGTGATTGTGTAATTCTTGATGATAAATTTGAATTTAACTGTTTTGTTGAAGATTTTGTTTTTTTAATAGGTTGTTTTTCTGCTTGTTTCATGTTTGAACTATTAGTATGAGGTGTGTTCCTTATTTTTCTTATAATTTTTTGAAATTTTGTAAGCTCAGGCTTACATTTACTTTCTTGTGTTTGATTTATTTGTCTTATTTTTTTATTTTTAAATTTTTCCACTTGCGTTTTACCTTTTTTATTATTAGATTTCCTTTCCTGTGTTTGTTTTAATTCTTGTTTCAAATGGTTTTGTGTTTTCAATTTTTCCAGGTGTAATTCATGTTTCTTTGGTTTCGATTTCCCCCCCTGTGATTGTTCTGTTTTTTTTTATTCTGTAGTTTTGAGTTTTTTTGGTAAAGGAATTGAATCTAAGTGTTTTATTTTGTTGTGTATCAATGTAAATTTTTTTTACGATTATTCAACGTTTGATCGTTTTTTTCTTTGGTGTCAGTTTCTGTGCAAATACCATTCTGCTTTTCCAGTGTTTTATTCTCCTGACAGAAGTGTTCATTTATCTCACTGTCAATTTCTGTGCAAATACCATTCTGCTTTTCCAGTGTTTTATTCTCCTGTCTCAGCTGTTCATTTATCTCACTGTCAATTTCTGTGCACATACCATTCTGCTTTTCCGGTGTTTTATTCTCTTGTCTCAACTGTTCATTTATCTCACTGTCAATTTCTGTGCACATACCATTCTGCTTTTCCGGTGTTTTATTCTCTTGTTTCAACTGTTCATTTATCTCACTGTCAATTTCTGTGCACATACAATTCTGCTTTTCCGGTGTTTTATTCTCCTCTCTCAACTGTTCCCACATTTGGTTAAGTATAACTTGCTCCCATTGAATTTATGTGAGCTCAAATTGGCGTTTTTGAATTTCTTCAATCAATTTTTCATTTTGACAGATTTGTAAAATAAAAGAACAATCTTAATTGAACTTATATTTATTTTAATTGTGTAGTATAAAAGATTGATTATTATTTAATATTAAAACTAAATGGAAAATTATTTATAAGTCATTTTTAACTTGCATGGTAAAAAAACATAACCAAGAATTTCCACATGCTTACTAAATTTAATTTAATAGTTTATATATTTCTTTAAAAGTAACTTATCTCACCTGGATTAAACTAAAGTTTACAACGTCAAACCTGACAATTTTCAAAATTGTTACTTGGAAAATCGTCAGATTTGACGTTGTAAACTTCAGTTCAATCTTACCTGGTCATCTACTTTTTCACACGTGTTTGCTGTTCTTTTTTTTATTTGTAATGTACTTATTTCTTGTCTCAACTTTCCATTGGTCCCCTTGAGCAGAATTTCTTCTTCTTCTTGGAAAATTTTGAGAGTAATCTGCATTTGACTAAGGTCTTCTCTAATATTCTCTTCTTCGCAGATCTGAAAATATGAACCAATTGTTTATAATCTACTCATTTTTTTTAGAATGATTTCTTGCACTGGAAAAAACAACATCGTTAAACACTGCTATTATGGGTAAGAAAAAAGGGACGAGCTTGTGCAAATCAAATGCTTAATATATATTTATCGTCATAGATTCAATCTTATTTCATTAAAAGTAAGTAAGTAAGTAATTTTATCTTACCTGGTCGATTATTTTTTCACATATTTTTTCTAACTGTTTACTCATATTATTGAGCTGACTTTTCTTGGACTGGATTTTTACAAAAGCAATCTCCATTTGTCTAAGTCTTTCTCTTATTTCTTCTTTTTTACGAATCTATAAATATAAACCAATTTAAATTAGATTAATTTTTTTTTACACAAAGAGACGAGCTTATGTGTAAATCACATGCTTTTAATGTACTTAACATAATAAGTTTAAACTTATTTCTTTAAACGAAATGTATCTTACCTTGTTATCTATTTCCTTACACAATTCTAGTATTATTTTGTTTATTGGTTGCACTTCGTAATGCAGCACTTCACGGTTGTCTTCAAGCACTTTTAGTTTTAACTAAAATGAGTCAAAATTGTGCTAACGCAGTTTTATCTGGAATCGGCGCAAGATTCCAAATTTTCATTTCCGAAAATCGTAGCTGATTCTTTTTTCGAAAAAAACCAAAAAAACATATATATATATGGGCAATTCCACGTGAGATTTTAGTCGACCTCTTAAAATCGGCCAAAAATATTTTTTTTCTATTCTGTATTGAAAAAAAACAGATATGTATTTTTTTATTTTTGTTTAATTGTCCAAATTCTCGAGTTATGAATTTTCGAAATTTTGGACTTGTAATTGTAGACCTATATTTAGTAGCTTATAAGTCCGAAAATATTGAGTTTAGGAAAAATTTGTCACAGAATGAAAGTTTAAGTTTTCTTTCGACTTTTAAGAAATGTGAACAAAAAATTTTTTTAAAATTTTTTATTAAAAAAAAATTTTTTTTTAATTTTTTATTTAAAAAATTTTTTTTTTTATTTAAAAAAAATTTTTTTTTTATAAACAAATTAATTTTTTTTAACTTTAGCCCGGATTTTTTTTTATTTTTTTTAAATTTATTTATTCCTTATAATATAGAGAAGATTTTCCAAAAAATCCCGAGGTGGGACTGATGTGTTGAATGAGTTTTAAAACATTTTCAAAAATTTCTTGCAATCATCACAGTGGGATTTTTTTTTACAATTAACTTCTAAAATTGTCTATACAGCGTAGATCCTTTAATTTAAAAAAAGAACTCTCAAATAGATTAAAATTATACACTGTAGACAGTTTTAAAAAGTTAATTGTAAAAAAATCCCACTGTGATGCTTGCAAGCGATTTTTGAAAATGTTTTAAAACTCATTCAACACATCAGTCCCACCTCGGGATTTTTTGAAAAATCTTCTATATATTATAAGGAATAAATAAATTTTAAAAAAATAAAAAAAATCCGGGCTAAAGTTAAAAAAAATTAATTTGTTTATAAAAAAAAAATTTTTTTAATAAAAAATTTAAAAAAATTAACAAAAATTTTTTTTTTTACATTTCTTAAAAGTCGAAAGAAAACTAAAAGTTTCATTCTTTGACAACTTTTTCCTAAACTGAATAATTTCGGAGTTATAAGCTACTAAATATAGGTCTACAATTACAAGTCCAAAATTTCGAAAATTCATAACTCGAAAATTTGGACAATTAAACAAAAATAAAAAAATACGTATCTGTTTTTTTCGATACAGAATAGAAAAAAAATATTTTTGGTCGATTTCAAGACGTCGACTAAAATCTCACGTGGAATTGCCCATATATATATATGTTTTTTTGGTTTTTTTCGAAAAAAGAATCAGCTACGATTTTCGGAAATGAAAATTTGGAATCTTGGGCCGATTCCCGATAAAACTGCGTTAGCACAATTTTGACTCATTTTAGGTAAACCTTAAAGTGCTTGAAGACCACCGTGACTTTCAAATCCATTAATTTAACCTTTCGTGGATCGGTGACAGAAATATTTTTTATTATTTCTGTGTGATAATTAATAGCAATTACATTGGTATCGTTTATCTCCATGCTTAATTTGTAATACACACATATAAATAAAACAAAATTAGTTTTCTTTGAGCGACAGTCACGTTCAGTTCTTCTCGTTTTTTTTGTTTTGAACTTATTAACGACGTGTTTACAAAAGTCAACTAAGTCTTAAGCCACATCCACAATATTGCAACCTTATGCGTCTTTTCCACTAAATGAACTAACTTGTCCACAAACAGCAGGGATGGGTGTGTATAATACGTAAGTTGAAATGAAAACAACAAAACTCGAAAACAATGTAAACAGCAGAACGTCTGAGGCTGGAGTCCCATGGGACCGTTTTGCGTTGTGTTTTGTAACTAGGCCATGAGTGCAAATATAGCCAACATATATCTCCATCTCTCTCACACTCATGGCCTAGTTACAAAACGCAAAACGGTGCCATGGGACTTGACCCTGAAATATGAAACAAAGCTACAAAAAAAGCAAGTATGATGACACTAGCGCTAATGTGGAAACTAAATTAATCAAGATTATTATTAAGCAAGAACGAGGAACGGTACTAATGAACAGTAGCGCCGCCGTAGAGAGATAGTACAACGCAATAGTAAAAGAAAGAGAGAGAGGATATAGGTAATTAATTACACAGCGCCACCATGGAAAAAGTAATTTAAAATAAGAGAATGACAGAAACACAACTCAAATAGCGCTACCATGAAGAAAAAATATCGATTAATCGTTGTCAACAACATAAAGCCGAACACGAGACGACCATCAGTATTGCGAGACCAGTGACAGATATATCTTAGTATACTTATAGCTTTTTTCAACTTAAACATTATTATTTTCTTTAAAATAATTTTTTTTTTGCAACTAAAACGAAAATAAAACAACTGTGTAGTGTAAATTTTTATAAAAATATATTTCAGGTTTCATTAAAACTGTTTAAGAAGTTATACATTTTTTTTTAGTTTTTCAATGATGATTCATGAATTTTTTTTCTCTGACATTCAATGACGATGGCGATGGCGTCTGTGACTTCTGTGACTTCTATGACTAGGGCGATGGTGATGACAGTATCTTCGTCTTTCACATCTGTAGCACACTTCGTCATTTTCATAATCATCATCGTTGGAGACAGTGGCAGGTGGAGTCGCTGGTCGCTCTGGTGACAAATTTAAAGCCTCAGAAGTTGGTGGACTTGGCGCTTTCTCCATCAACTCATTACACTAAAACAAATATTTTATATTAAACATTATTTTAATCAATTATATAAAATTACTGAATATAATTAAAAATAAATTCAAAGTTAATTAACAATATAATCGTAAATAACTTTAAATTTCCTAAATTTATTAATATTAAAAAAAATTACATTTATATTATCAAGCGTTGAGAAATCTTTCTGTGTTATACCCAGTACGTCTAAAATGTGTTGCACATCTTGCTCAGATATATCTATATCTAAAAACTCCAGATGATCAGTTTGTGTTTCAGCCTCCTGCAAATAACGCACGTTTTCGTAAAATCCTTCATCTTCTACAAACATTACAGGATTCATATTCACTTCCGCAACGCTATCGATTATTTCCTGCATATCGTTTAATGCAGCATAGCCCTCATCATCATCTGACAGTAGAATGATTGTCTCTGCCTGGCTGCCTTGCTCCTCGTGGTTCAGCTCCTCGTTGTTCTGCTCCATTCTGCTACGGCTACTTGGATCCATTTGATACAGTCTTATGCTCCTGCACTCATTTATATACCCGAATTCCCTCTCCTGTGTGCCCCCACCATGAAGAATCATCTTCCCCTTTTACACTTCACAAAAAAAATGTGGTGGCTTTTAGAAACTAATAACCACTAGAAGTTACCGACACTTGTCGGTAACATTCATTTAATGGTAAATTAATTTTAAAGTCCCCAACCAAGGGTAGTTCAATTTTCTGCCGACAGAGGGAACTAACACTTGGCGCGAAAATACAAATTAACAAAAAAAACATTTAACAGTAAATTAATTTCAAAGTCACCAACCAAGGTTAGTTCAATTTTTCTGCCGACAGAGGGAACTAACACTTAGCGCGAAAATACAAATTAACAAAAAAACATTTAACAGTAAATTAATTTCAAAGTCCCCAACCAAGGTTAGTTCAATTTTTCTGCCGACAGAGGGAACTAACACTTGGCGCGAATATTCAAATTCACCAAATAAATATTTAATTATAAATTAATTTTAAAGTCCCCCACCAAGGGTAGTCCAAGTGTCCTATCGGTCAGTAAAACAGATCCCTACCATACCGACAGAGGTAAATTTACCAACAGATACCTACCTTACCAACAACTGATAAGGTAGGAATCTACATTACCGACCGAGGGTAATTACCGACCGCAGGTATGCGACAGTGGTGCCATCTAGCGGCAGCCGCAGGAACTGTGGTCTAGTAATGGTATAGCTATACTACTTTAAAAACATCGAATCGGCATTTAGTCGAATGCTAAAAACATCGAATTGTCAATACGTCGAATGTTCAAAACGTCGAATTATCAATTCGTCGAATGTTAAAAACATCTAATTGTCAATACGTCGAATGATAAAAACGTCGAATGCTAAAAACATCGAATGGCCTGAACATCGAATGCTAAAAACATCGAATCCTCATTTAATCGAATGCTAAAAACATCGAATTCTTAATTCGTCGAATGTTCAAAACGTCAAATGCTAAAAACGTCGAATGTTCAAAACGTCGAATGCTCAAAACGTCGAATCGTCATTTAGTCGAATGGTAAAACCATCGAATAGTCCATTCGTCGAATGCTCAAATAGTCGAAACGCCATCTGTTCGAATTATCAAGTAGTAGAATGGTAAAGTTGTCGAATGTTCAAAACGTCGAATCGTCATCTGTTCGAATTGCCAAGTAGTAGAATGGTAAAGTAATCGAATGGACAAAAAGTCGAAACGCCATCTGTTCGAATTATCAAGTAGTATAATGGTAAAGTTGTCGAATGTTCAAAACATCGAATCGTCATTTAGTCCAATGCTAAAAACATCGAATTTTTATTTAATCGAATGCTAAAAACATCGAATTCTCAATTCGTCGAATGTTCAAAACGTCGAATGATAAAAACGTCGAATGGTCAGAACATCGAACTGTCAATTCGTCGAATGCTCAAAACGTCGAATGCTAAAAACATCGAATCGTCAAAAGTTCGAAAAAGTTCTTTGTTTTAAGTTAATGTCTACTGAAAACAAAGAACTTTTTCGAACTTTTGACGATTCGATGTTTTTAGCATTCGACGAATTGACAGTTCGATGTTCTGAGCATTCGACGTTTCGAACATTCGACTACTTTACCATTTTACTACTTGGCAATTCGAACAGATGGCGTTTCGACTACTTTACCATTCTACTACTTGACATTTCGAACAGATGGCGTTTCGACTATTTCAGCATTCGACAAACTGACTATTCTATGTTCTGAGCATTCGACGATTTGAGAATTCGATGTTTTTAGCATTCGAAGTTTTGATCATTCGACGAATGGAAAATTCGATGAATTAACAATTCGATGTTTTTAGCATTCGAAGAATTGACGATTCGATGTTTTTATCATTCGACTAAATGACGAATCGATGTTTTTAGCATTCGACGTTTTTATCATTGGACGTTTTGAACATTCGACGTATTGACAATTCGATTTTTTGAGCATTCGACAAATTGATAATTCGACGTTTTGAACATTCGACATGTTGACGATTCGATGTTTTTAACATTCGATGAATTGATAATTCGACGTTTTGAACATTCGACAAATTGAGAATTTGATGTTTTAAGCATTCGATTAAATAAAAATTCGATGTTTTTAGCATTCGACTAAATGACGATTCGATGTTTTGAACATTCGACAACTTCACCATTTTACTACTTTATAATTCGAACAGATGGCGTTTCGACTTTTTGTCCATTCGACTACTTTACCATTCTACTACTTGGAAATTCGAATAGATGACGATTCGACATTTTGAACATTCGACAACTTTACCATTCTACTACTTGATAATTCGAACAGATGGCGTTTCGACTATTTGAGCATTCGACGAATGGACTATTCGATGGTTTTACCATTCGACTAAATGACGATTCGACGTTTTGAGCATTCGACGTTTTTAGCATTCGACGTTTTGAACATTCGACGAATTGAGAATTCGATGTTTTTAGCATTCGATTAAATGAGGATTCGATGTTTTTAGCATTCGATGTTTTGGCCATTCGATGTTTTTAGCACTCGACGTTTTTATCATTCGACGTTTTGAACATTCGACGTATTGACAATTCGTTGTTTTTAACATTCGACGAATTGATAATTCGACGTTTTGAACATTCGTCGTATTGATGATTCGATGTTTTTAACATTCGACGAATTGATAATTCGACGTTTTGAACATTCGACGTATTGACAATTCGATGTTTTGAACATTCGACGTTTTGAACATTCAAAGAATTGAGAATTCGATGTTTTTAGCATTCGAAGAATTGACGTTTCGATGTTTTTATCATTCGACTAAATGACGATTCGATGTTTTTAGCATTCGACATTTTTATCATTCGACATTTTGAACATTCGACAACTTTACCATTCTACTACTTGATAATTCGAACAGATGGCGTTTCGACTATTTGAGCATTCGACGAATGGACTATTCGATGGTTTTACCATTCGACTAAATGACGATTCGACGTTTTGAGCATTCGACGTTTTTAGCATTCGACGTTTTGAACATTCGACGAATTGAGAATTCGATGTTTTTAGCATTCGATTAAATGAGGATTCGATGTTTTTAGCATTCGATGTTTTGGCCATTCGATGTTTTTAGCACTCGACGTTTTTATCATTCGACGTTTTGAACATTCGACGTATTGACAATTCGTTGTTTTTAACATTCGACGAATTGATAATTCGACGGTTTGAACATTCGTCGTATTGATGATTCGATGTTTTTAACATTCGACGAATTGATAATTCGACGTTTTGAACATTCGACGTATTGACAATTCGATGTTTTGAACATTCGACGTTTTGAACATTCAAAGAATTGAGAATTCGATGTTTTTAGCATTCGAAGAATTGACGTTTCGATGTTTTTATCATTCGACTAAATGACGATTCGATGTTTTTAGCATTCGACATTTTTATCATTCGACGTTTTGAACATTCGACGTATTGACAATTCGATGTTTTTAACATTCGACGAATTGATAATTCGACGTTTTGAACATTCGTCGTATTGACGATTTGATGTTTTTAACATTCGACGAATTGATAATTCGACGTTTTGAACATTCGTCGTATTGACGATTCGATGTTTTTAACATTCGACGAATTGATAATTCGACGTTTTGAACATTCGTCGTATTGACAATTCGATGTTTTTAGCATTCGACTAAATGCCGATTTGATGTTTTTAGCATTCGACGTTTTGTCCATTCGATTACTTGGCATTCGACTATTTGATCATTCGACGACTTGGCGATTAGGGGATATGCATGCGTCTCATATTTTTTTGTGGGTTTGAATTTTTTGAAGGAAAAATACAATCAAACAAATCTATTAATAACAATAGTAAAATGAGCATAAAAATATTCTTCTCTATAGGTTCACTCGAGTTTTATTTTACTTTTCGCGTTTCCTCTTCAGCTCTCCGCATTGGCGATTCAGAATTCCAAGTTTTCGGGGTAGAAATCTGGTTAAATTACAGTTTCAACAGCACCTCTTAAATTCTCTGATCCTCGTAAAAACGTTTTCCTTTCTCTCTCTCGCAACTGCGCACACAGAGAGTGTTTTCTCTTTCTCCGTTCGCTACAAGTGGCGAAATGCGCGAATTGTTGAGCAATCTTTTATGGGCTTCTGTCCCTCACACCACGATACGTATGCAAAAGATTCTCATTCTCAGTGTGTGCTTTGGCGAAAAAGTGAGTACCCAAGCCGATTCTCGCAAGTCAGATTTTATTTCTGTCGAATCACTGGGTTTGACACTTACGCGCTCTCCCGCGAGAATCGATGTTACCAGCCATACATTCGCAGCTCGATTCACCGGGGAAATTCCGATCTCTCACCATATCCCAGGACAGACACGTAAACTTTTGCTTAGAAGCTATCTCTCTGCGGAGGAAGAGAGAAAAAAAAAGAGTGAGTGAGTGAGTGAAAGGGTCGAAGGAACTTCTGCCCTGGACTTGCCACACGTTAACTTAAAGGCAAAGTAGTATAGTCGAAGAGGGACGAACTTGCAACCGAAGGTCGGTTTGCACTTGGCAAATAAATTCACACTGTTACGCCAAGAGATCTCTCTTGGTGCTGACCGAATTTACGAAAACAAACACGAGAAAAATCCACGAAGTCTTTTTTTTTCTTTTTCTTCTTCCCTCGTTGTCTACTCTGTGTTGAAAATACTGCTTTGCAGCATCAGCTAGCGTTGGCTTCACGCCATCGCGGAGCTCTTCTTTAAAAAAAAAAATTTTTCCCTTTTTCTTAATTTTGCATAAGTACTTTCGTTGACTAATATACCTAAGTATAGAAGACACTATATTTTCAAAAAATTATAATTTATTAAAAATGTTTTGTAGATTTACTGAATAACGTTATTGCTCTTTATATTCCTTTAATTTCCGTTTGTAATAAGACTCTTTTAAATAACACTTTTGTATCCCAACTTGTTCGGATGTACCATTTTGAACATGGTTTTTTAATTTCCGTTTGTAATAATTTTTTTTAAACACCAAGTTTTTGCCTTGCAGACACAAACGAACCATT